AGCTACTTTATGTTATCGTTTTGTCCGTCCGTAAGCAGGATATCTCCAGAACGATCAAGCGCAGTTTTCACCAATTGTGCTTCTAATTTATAGTTCTCGGTCAAGTTCAAAAAAGGGGGTTAAGGTGACCCTAGCCCTGGTGAGGTCAAATGCGGATTTTAATTTCCATACGGGAATTTTAATATGATATTCTTAATTTCCGTGGTAAACGAAATTTCACAAAAAACTTTTTCAGCCTCCGGGTAACCCATGACCGTGAGGGCGATGTCAAAGGTCAAAAACACAATTGCTGCATTAGGTGTTATTTTAAAGGAAATTTATCTATACATCGCTCTGACGCTACTTCTTTATATTCATTTTGACACAATTTTATTTTTCGTTATATACGTATTGCCACCACCTATTAAATTATTCAAGATATCGATATCTTACGCAAATAATAATAATTGACCAATTCTCTGCAAATTTTCCAACTTATGTAACTCCGATTCCCTCATTTTATCAAGTGAAACAGTAAAAAAAAATCCTTGCAAAGCTGTGCTCGAGTAATGAATAAGATGACCTATAAAAGAAACCACATCTGTCGCCAAACCAAAAAATGTACCCCACGCGAAAATCAATCATGATTAGAAAAGTCATTTGATATTTTTTATTGGCTTCCTATTAATCCTGCTATTTTTGCAGTGAAAATGTATGACTTCATTACAGACATGGGTATAATTAGAAGTACCTTTTTCGCAATCATTTTTACCTTTCTGCCTGCCTATCTTTGTATTCGTGTGATGAGGATAAAGCAAATAAAGCTTTTTTTAGAAATGTGACGTCAATCCATCCCAACTTTTATATTTGCATAATTCTAACCTGATTTATTTTTATACCGATATATTTAACAAACAAAGAAATATGTTCTGATAATTATATTAGCCCAGTTTCTCTCCATGATTAGGAAATATTTTGCATAATTTATTTCAACGTAGGAGGACTCGATGACTCGTCGCCAAAATCAACACATCTTTAATCATTTCTCCGCTCTGGGAATTTATTTTAAAATTCTGGGCGACAAATCTGCAGAGCAGGTCATTTCCAATTTTATAAAAGTATGAACTATAGATTTTGGCACTTTTAAAGGAGGAGATCTTAGGCGTAGGAAACCTCAGAAATATTTTAACTCATTGAAACTAGCTTAAAAACTCACCGCCATTCTATTAATCACCTTACTGACTACAAATTTGTCGCCCAGAATTTTTAAATAAATTCCCAGAGCCGAGAAATAATTAAAAATGTGTCGATTTTGACGATTTGGTGATGAGTCATCGAGTCCTACGTAAAAAAAATTATGATAAAAAAAGTACCGGTTGATTTTAGTTTCTTTCACGTAGGCACCTAATTCTCCGAGTGCTCAAATTCCCCTAATTTGTCCAGGCTTGTTTTGTGAACAGCAATTTTGTTACATTTCCGTACTTTGAGAAAAACCTATGACAAAAGAATACATGAAGTGAACCACTTTCTCCATCGATCAACTTTCACCCACAAAAGAGCAGCAACAGCCCCAGAACAACACGTAAAGCTTGTTGAATCTAAACCCCGAATACAATGGTGCTATTTTCTTACTTAGGAAACTAAAAAAATTACGCCCCCACCAAACCGCCCTCTTTTGTATGTATTATTCCGCAACTTTCTTTTCCTCGTACGAGACGAGACAATTAACAAGCCGCTCAATAATTACAATTAGTCCCAATGTCAACATTAATTGACCATATCATTCGCCCCGAACTACACCCGGGTAAAACCTGACCAGCTTCCCAATACCGATAAACGAAGAAGCCGCTGCCCAAACTTTTGCAGGCAATAAAGCCCGAGTCGAACTAAAGCTGAAAACTTGTGGAACAATTATTGGATTTTGTCGTCATTTCAACTTTCTCTCTGAGCACGAGGCGCTGTCTGTGTCTAGGAAAGCAATAGGTGCATAGGAAGGAAATTTCAAGAATAAGGAAGTTAACGAATAAAGTGGCAGCGTTTGAAGTGAAAGTTGAAAGTTGATCCAAGGAAAATATCGTCAGAAATGTTGAGTAAATGTTCCCGAGATAATGAAGACGTTGCTTCGTTCCTTGTTCGCTTTCTCTTCTCAGCAGAGAAGACACACACAGTGGCCGCGGAAGCTGTGTGGGGACATTAACATTGTAGGATAGGGGAGGGAGGGGTTTATATAACATGGGGAGATGATGGGGACGTCGATTAAAACATTGTCCCCACGTTTCCGCGGCCACTGGTCGCACACCGGTCTGATGATCCTCTTCATCAGTCTAATTGAACTTTCACCTCGGATTTAGACCGGTCTAGACCATCCACCACTCTGGAATTTCGCATCTATGGAGGATTTGGTGCGGACAAAGTTCCAGTTCTCGTGGCCCCATTCAAGACGTCTCTCTCTCATTGTTGTTGCTTTGATCTCTCCTCGCTGCTCTAATCCAAATCTTTCGACGAGGTTCGAACAACACAAAGATCTGCTCTTTCTCTCTGCTAAATACATATTTTACAAAGGAGAAGGACAAGGAAATCGTTATATAAAGTGGGTGGCTCAAAGTAGCGTAAAAATACGAGCGTAACGTAACGTTTTATTTACGTAAGAGGAGTGTAGTATTGAGTAATAATTGTGTTTCCTTTGTCATTTGGAAAATTATTATCCAATTATTTCCTCGTAGATTGAAAATTATCTGGATCTAATTTTATTTAGGGGCAAATTTGTATTAAATCAATTAAATGTGACGAACTACATACATACAGAAATTGTGTCCGTCACAAGAAGTGACTGACTTTGACTAGTTTTGTTCCTGGAGAATAAAATTAGTTAATTATACCGTTAAGATTAGATTAGTGCAACTACCCAACAAAATAATGCAGAAATCCTGCTGAATGATTGCCCCGCAGTTTTGCTTTCTATTTCTTGTAACAACCCAATTTCCATGCAGAAATCCCCACACGGAGAAAATATGTCAATGGTAATGCTAAAACCACATCAAACTGCATTCCTCTTCTTCACATTAACACCTACACAAAGCCAGATATCCAATCTGACTGTTATCTCTTGAGCTCCAATTTCCAACCCCGTCCATATCTTATTTTCGGGTGGGTAGTAGTAAAACAGGGTCATCTTACTTGGACCACGTGGGAGGAAAGCACGTTATGACCAAGTCAAAACCAATTCGCTCCTCTAAATCCCATCTTCTTTTCTATAACGTGCTTATCCACCCACGAATCCGACCAATGATCTCTGGTGGCTGGGTGGGTGGATATGGGACGCCAAAGGTCCAGTGAAAGTGCAGTGAAAGCAGAAAATGTCACAGTTGAGCTCGAATTTAATTGGGCAGAGAGTGAAATTGAATGAAGTCGATGGTGTAATGGTTGGTTAGTTGGTGCGTGATGATAATGGATGTCAAATGATATTACAGTTCAATTCAATTCGACTATTTTTTTAGTCACTGAGTCATTTTTTTTTCTTGATTTGTTCGCCAGCTGCAATTTTTATGTAATTACTGCGACGAATTGTTGCATAATAACCATTATTTTATGTACTAGTATTGATTTTGTGGGGAAGTTTGCCTTCGTAATTAATTACAGCGTGTGGTGGTTGTGTCTCTGTCTCTCTTCCCATTTAATAACACGGCATATTCAATTCTTCTGTGTTCGATAACGGCGGCGGAATGCATGACCGTGGTGAGCACGCGGTTATTAATCACCTGTCATAATAACTCATATCACAAAACTGGGCATGACATTGCTCCTTTCTAGCAGGGATTCTCATTGCTGTAACACCTTCGTGGTGGGTCTTCGGAGGAGGAGGAGGACAAACAAACAACGGGAAAGTCCTTGTGTAACAAATGTTATTATGGAGGGGTGAAAGTACTTTATAGATAAGATCGTTTGTCTGTCCGTCCTTTGGTCCATCCGTTGGTCCACGTGTGACCTAAAAGACACTTAAACTGGAAATTTTGAGCTTAAACTCCTGTAATCAAGAAGTAAGGGGTACGGCGAGTTCTAAAATTGCCTATTTAGGTCACATCGTCAAAGTCATAAAAGATCAAAAATTGTAAAAAATACATATGTATACAAATTGAACGGAAATTTAACCCCATGCTCTGTTGTAACCTTGATTTTGACCTCAAAGGTTACAAAAAGTTCACAAAAAGGTCATCAAATGCAAAATGCCATACACATTTCGCAAATGTATAAAATACGTCAATTTTACCAGATTTTCGACGAGCAAAAACAGCATGATTTTGACGTATGACACTGCTTTCACCCCTGGGTTACATACCTTGTAACAGTTTATTATTAAGAGGAATGGACGACTAGATGATGATCATCATCATCAAGTGCACACATTTTCCATGGAGTGGACATATTTGTGCAACGGGCCCGTAAAATCGTATCACACGCATGAAAAGTTTTCCTTATTTATTTAACTCTCTCTCTTGAAGATTACGTAAATAGGACGGTTTATATATCCGGCTGGATCTGGCTGGCAGGCTCAAGATGTCGGCAATCTAATGAAAAATGCAAGTAAACCGGCTCCTTCGTTCCCTCGCTAAGGCAACATTTCTTATAAAATGTAAATTTTTGCGAAATGAAGAAAGTGAAAGTAAACGTGAAAGTGAAAGTCAGAGGAATTTTGGCAATGTGTGTAAACGGAAGAAATTTCATATCCTACATATTCAATCGCACAGAAGGAAATGTCATAATTTTTTAAAAGGAGGAAGTTGAAGCTACCAAATTTTTGGTATTTACATTGGACTCGATTACTCCTCGCCAAAATTGTCAAAATCGGCACATTTTTTAGTAATTTCTCGGCTATATGAATTTATTTTAAATTTTTGACGACAAATTTACAGTCGCAGTAAGTTTTGTGCAAGAATTTCACTCGTGCAGTAGATTTGCAATTATATTTTGTTGCATGATTTGATTATGCAGATGAAAAAATAAGTAGTTTTGATTAAACACGATTAAAAGTAGGACGAAAATTTCTCAAATAGAAATTTATTTACTCGTTTGATGGAGAAAACAAAACCTATTTTTCTGATGGAATTAGACATATTTTAACTAATTTTACATAGCCGATCAAGAAAACGGGCCGAGTTGATTTACAAAAATGCTGGTTGCGTCCAAGGAATAAGAAGAAGGGAATCTACTTCTTGTAGTAACCGAGACCACCATATCCGAGACCATTGTATCCGGAGGAGTATCCTGATAAAGTAAAATTACGAGTTGGCATAATTTCAAAATTTCAAATTTTTTGAAAATTGAGAATTTCCAACTTACCAGAGTAAGCTGGGTAGGCAGAGTATCCGTAGTTGGAGTATCCAAGTCCGGAATATCCGAGACCTGAATATCCGTAGGAGCCGTAGTATTGGGCGCTAGCGGCGGCAACGACGGCGGCCAAGAGGAGGACGGCAAACTATAGAAAAGTATATAGAAAATTTAATACTTTTCAAATGTAATGTTCCCAAAATTCCAGAAAACTGGAAACTTACAAGCTTGTTCATTTTGAAAGTTGGGTTTTGGTTTTGTTGGAGATTGTAGGATAAAATTGTTTACAAAAGCTGGTGATACTAACTGAGACTTTGGGGGGCTTATTTATACCAAAAAGTATAACTATGTTGCGTCGTTTAATTAGTTGTATGTAAGTCTTTGCCTGGAACAAGGAGAGGAGTAGCGCGATTAAATTTAGCATGAAAAAAGCGGTTTGATAGGTGGGTCGACAACTAACTAACGAACGAACGAACGAGTACTTGATGAGTTTGCATGCAAAAAAATGGCAAGAATTGCACGATGTTTAGCATCAGGTGAAGAATTGATTGACCAGAAATAAACGGTGAGTGAGGTATATGTCATGATCAGATGGGAAAATTTTCATCATAATAACACAAGAGAATATAGAAACGCCTAGTCGTAAAGGCTGAACTTTGATTTCCTTGAGAAGATCAGGTTATTATTATTATTTATTTGTTTCAACCATTGGACACATTTTTCCAGTACGGCCAGAAGAGCTATATTTAATTTAAAAGAGGATTCTTACATGGCTTTCAGTATATAGATCGTGACGTAGAATGACGGTGAGTTTTTTCAGCCAGTGCCAATTTTTTGAAGGCTTTTTAAACCTGAGATCTCCTGCTTCAAAAACTTTCAAAATCTGGATTTTACATTTTCTTAAATGGCCACGAATTTTTTGTACATAGTTTAAAATAAATTCCCAGACCTGAGAAACGATTAAAAATGTGCTGATTTTGGCGACCAATCATCGCGCCTTTATACTAAATCATAAACGAATTAATAAATTACGGCAGGATTATCAAAATTCGATAACGCGTTTATATTTCTCTATAGAGAAATTTGCAAATTTTCCAGCTGAAAAAGACAAAAGACGAATTGTGACATTTGTGGTGGTGGTGGTTGGCTGGTTTAGTTGTACAACATAATAAGCATGCCTCATTGGGTCGAACTTCCCCAAGGAATTCCGCGTCCCTTACGTTCACCGAGCCTACCATGTACCTGGTTGCACTATTGTTCACTTTGTACGGCCGAATTTATTTATTTGGTTACCTCGTCGTCGTCGTCGCTGGGAGGAGAGAGCAAACAGAGCCAGCGAAATAAATAAAGTTGTTGCAGGTACGAGACGGGGGATAAATTTAGTATCGTCAATTCTCAATATATATACGGGACGCGGAGGGAGGCAGGGAGAAAGCAGGTCTGTGTAAAAACAGCGAAAAGTGAAAATATTTACGAGACCTTTGATCCATCTGTATGGATGGAATGAGAATGGACCACATTTTATGATTTTTTGGCAATATCAATCCCCTGAGATTCATAAAACTCGGTAACCTCTCCGTCAGACAAGGGAAACAAGAAAGCGAGCGAACCCTCTACGAGGGGGCGTCCATATATTACGTCGTCATAAAGGTGGGTGGGTGGATTTGGACCAAATCATTTGGTAATCTTGTCTTAGTCGTTTTAAGCATTTAATCTAAGATGACAGATTACCAGATTCCTCAGAAATCTGAGCAGATTACAGATTATCAGATTACTCAGAAATTTGAGCAGATTACTCTAAAATCTGAGCAGATTACCAGATTACTAATCCAATTACATTTTCTTGGTAACAATGTAGTCTGATTACAAGTAGTCTGCCCAAGTATGAAAATAAGTGATGACGTAATATATGGACGCCCCCTTCCTGCTTGCTGCCTAGCTTGCTTTCTCTGCAGGCTTTGATTTCTGTTTACCTTTTTACCTTCGTTAGAATATAGAAAAGATAAATGCGAGCCAATAACGGGATGTTCAGCGGAAAACATTATTTCTGCAGTGTGCCACATTTTACTTGAGACAGAATTGCACAAATATTTGGACCGTGTAACGCTAAAAATGCAGAGATGCAAGAATTTTATGTGACTTGGAAAGGGATTTTTTTACTATCCATGTAAAATAAAGGTATTGAAAATATGGATGATTTTGACACAATTTTTGCAAACATAAATAATATATTTAAAAAAATAAAGTTTATATCAAATATTAAAATCATATTTATATTTATTCTGATAATAAATTTCACCTGAAATCAAAAATTGAAAACATTCATGAAGAGAAGAGTAAAATATTGAGGTTGAAATTTCCGATTTTTTTCACAGGTTTCAATGAAATGTGTGCTTTTCGAGTGTGTCATGTGTGAGAGAAAGCTGAGAGTCGCCCTGCTACTGCTGCTTTCTCCAGTTTACTTTATATCCCGGTTTTCATACGGGGTCAGCCTCAGTTGAAATTTGTGCTCCAGTCGGAAAACACTTTCTCCTCATATGGATAAATACATATAGTAAAACCAATATTTATGATTCCAGTCAAAAAAATTAGAATATCTCGGTCATGTTAACCCACCTAAAAATTGAAGTTTTACCATAATACAAAATCAAAACAGTAATAAATCTAATCTTCTTTTCTAATTTTGTAATGTAATTATAATATTTCCAATTAGATTTTTTTTGCAAATTCGGCTAAAATATAATCTCATTATCTACATAAATCGAGTTAATTTAGTATATTAAATAAATTTATTAATTATGTACCATTCTCTTGATTTTGTAACCTATTTGTAATAAAATTTATTGGCAGCCTAAATTTTTCAGAATTTCAATTTCGGTATTTAAGTATTACAAAACTTACAAAATTGTTGCATTTCTTACATGCTTGAAGAACATATTTATTACATACGCAGACGACTGAACATGTGAAAATATATGCTCTCTGTCAATGTCGTAACATATTTGCAGATGCCTTCACGATAAAAACAAATCAATTCTTGGTACGGTTTACGGTTTCCACTCACTCTTTACGCTTCTTAACTAACTTGGACATGAATAGAGAGTTAGAGATTCCTTGTACTTCGACTGTAGACTGTACTGTGGAATCTAGATGATGACGTCATCAGCTTTTTGTACTAATTCTACAGTCTACAGTACACAAATTGAAACACGGGCTCAGTTTGTACTACTGTGGAAAAATCAAGGGTTGGCAAGTATGATATCTCCAGAACGCCTCAATATAATCAGACGCTGTTTGCGCCATTTTGCTTCTAATTTTTGACCCTAGGTCGAGTTCGAAGATGGGCGCCCTGTGGTCAAGGTCAAGGTCACCCTGGCGTGAAGTAAACGCAAAATTCAACCTTAATTTTCATATGCGGTGTCATTTTAAAGGAAATTTCACGAAGAATTCATCGTCGTCAATACTTTTGACCTCCGACCAACCCATAATCGAGAGGACGAGGTCAAAGGTCAAAATTGAAGTGTCGACTGTTTTAGACTTGGGTTTGGGCGCGAATTTCAGAAATTGACACAGTTTTAACGTGCGAAGACCCCGAGACCACGTAGACCAGGTCAAAGGTCAAAAATATTTATTTTTTATTTGGACCGTTGCAGACGTGTTTAGTTTGAGGCGAGGAGTTCAAAAATCACTATCGTTTCGGATTACATCAGCCTGGTGATTGTTGTAAACGAGGTCAAAGGTCAAAAATATCGTATTTAAGTTTTGAACATTTTAGACACAATTTGTGGAAGGAGGTTCATTTCGTATATCATGAGTTGATTTGTCTCAATTTTTGACGCATCTATTTCGCGGAGTTCTACAATACAATTTTTCAGAGTACAAAATAATGGAAATTCTCTAGGTCTTTTGAATTTTGTACTAATTTTTGTATTGTATTGTAGTCACAGTACAGTACAAGTAAAAATACAAAAAATCTCTAAGTCTCTAATGAATGGCATTCTTTCCCCGTCACGATTTAGAAGAGAAAAAACGAGTTGAGATTGTTAACTTCGACGCTGTACATAAGTTCATGATTTACTTTCAAAAGTTTTTCTTCGTCGTGGGAAATGAGGCGGGGAAGGGGTGAGGGTAAATTTTTCTCGTTTTACGTAGCAGACAACCAGACAATAAATAGATAATCGAATTGAGCTGCATTATTATGCAGCCTGCATATTTATTATGCAATGCTTCATGTGGTATGACGCCAATTTAATTTTTAGCTGATACTTACTTGACCAAATATTTGGGTAGATTTCACTGAAAGTTAACACATTCAACACTAAAGATTTAATTTGTAACAAATTTTGATTATTATTAAAATTGCAATTTCTAATTTAATTATTAATCCACTTCCGCAAAATTAAAAATAAATATCTATGTATGAAACGAATCTACTCTTTGTCCCTAAAATCAGGCCCATTTTATTTATGACCTTACGTCTGACCATGACGAAAGTCATATTTGTTGTACTATAATGAGTGTACAATAACCTACATTCATTACACACGTATAATTACATGTGTACTGTAGAGCAGCTACATAGAAGCTTAAAATGCTCAAGAATGTTAAGTAGTGTTTGGGGCATAAGTAACCAACCACTTGCAAGAAATAACTGCAAGAAAGTGGTTTCTTGGAGCTATTTTGACCTGCAATAAGAAACGACCGCCGCGTGGCTAGATGGGGCATATTTCTTGCACTTTCTCCCAATTTCTTGCACCTCGGATTTCTTCCGTTTCTTGCTCTGCAGTGCAAGAAATGTAGAAAGCAACGAAACTATGATGTTAAGTCTTTGGTAAATGTACAAGTTTATATTTCCTCGAATAGTTGCTATTGCAAAAATACCGTGGTTGAGGTACCTACAGACTCCAAGAGATTATTATATAAACCCCCAGCCCAGCCAAACACCCGCAACACACCCTTCACAAAAACAGCCACGGATTAACCAGCCCACATTAAATAAATCTCTTCAGCCATTTTTTCCCTCCTTGACGAGAACACTATGGTTTAAAAAGAGAGGAAAAAATGAGGTGAATCGTCCCCCGAAGGCTGGCTTACTTTTACTTTGTTTGATCTCAAAGGCGTCATCAGTAATATATGCGAGTCAGCCCGACCAAACCCACAGCCCACCCAGCAGCCAGATTACTTGAGCAAAGAGTGAAAATTTTCACGACTTCCACTCTCCCGACGTCAATTAAGAATGCGAAATTGTTTTCCTTCCCAGAGAAGAGCAGAATGGCGCTTTTTATGATGAAATCCTACTAAAAAGTGGGAGAAAGTACATGCATCCGACGACTCCAGCTGGGCGAGGGGAGCGAGA